GTGTTACATCATCTGCACAACGTTACGTGTTACATCATCTGTACGATGTTACGTGTTACATCATCTGTACGATGTTATGTGTTACATCATCTGTACGATGTTATGTGTTACATCATCTGTACGATGTTATGTGTTACACCATCTGTACAATGTTATGTGTTACACCATCTGTACGATGTTATGTGTTACATCATCTGTACGATGTCACGTGTAACATCATCTGTACAATGTTATATGTTACATCATCTGTATAATGTAAGGTATTACGTGATTTGTACAATGTAAGGTGTTTTAGTGTAATCAATAGTCCTATACCCCTGCTTACCGGTATTACATGTGAACACCATTAGTCGGGACAATTCGGTTCCCTTATAAATATCTGAAACACCAACAATCCGGACACTTTAATTTCCTGATTGACAACTGTATATAAACGAACGTGTTTTCTGTAAACATTAAACGGTTAAAATTCGAAACGTGAATTTAGCTATTTTGCCGGAAACTTGACATTCGGCAACAGTATTGTACGGATATTGACTTTCGGAACTTCTAGACTCTTTCATAGGAAAGGGTGTGTAGAATATAACGATTATGATTACATTTTCCACTACAGGGGGAACGCTAGCTAGCTTGTTACACGGCGGGCACTTGAGATCTGATGGAGATGGTCAAATCAACATTCTCAAGGAGCAACGCATCCGAATGTATTTATTTTTCTCTGGCTGATTCAGATTATCATTGTATAATCAAATACTTCAAGAAATCCTGCTCAAGTGTGTTTAGTACGCTATCGAGCGGAGCAATCGCAGGAAAAGTGAATACAAACTCCCAACCTTAGAAGTTGTGGTTCAGATGAAAGTAACGGGCTCCGTTTTTTCAAAACAAAATGTTCGGGAAATGCCCTTATCTTCCCTAATGAAGGATTTCGATCTGTTTGCAGACCAGGGTACTTGATCGTAACATTTGATGGTAGATGGTACATTAATCTGAGATATGAGGAAATCCCAGTCACTGTTACCCGTTTGGTACACATTTGTATTACATGTAGTAGCCGTGATCAGACACCTCGTCCTGCATTGTGGTTCCTACAATTAGTTCGTGTTTGATCTCCGGACACTACTGTAATAGAACCTTTACATTGTTCTTAAAAGTTTTAGACGTATTTATTTAAATCAAATCGTATTTCTGAAATGTAAATTGAAATAACTTCTTTCATAATTATCGGTTGTCACGTATTTATTCAAACTAATGAAATAAAAAATATTTTTTTAAAAGCCACTGGATTTTCTATTATGCCAATTAGCAAGTATGCACAATATGGAACTCCCATATTACCATTAATTGTAGATGGCACAATGGTCGTATGATATAAGACATTGATATAGTATTTTTTGTTTAGGAAGGTATAGCATGTGTGATGGCGTATGCAAGACAATGCTATAGAAAGCTCCCAGAAAGGTGATAGTTTATGAAGATATCAGTGTTGAATATCTGGAAATTATTGGTTGTGTGGCGGAGTCTAGTGATGTGTCCCGCTATGAAATTCGGCTAGTTGCTTTCAATTTAATCTTTGCGTCTGTACCGTTCGCATACGAATGCGTAATTCAATGTATGTTGACGTCCTGGAAACTCTCTGTATTTTACTGTGTATACTATAGAATACTTATATTTCATTCTCGCCTAAATTCACGTTCGGCATCGATCACAAATACGGGTATCACGCAAACACTGATTAATACGTAACGCAAGACAGAAAAGTTCAACGCGAAATAAATTCCTTTCGAGTAAGGGCACAAAAACAACAACATTTTTCTTATTTGTTTAAGAACAATTATGAAAACGTTTTTTTCCTATTTATATTAATCACTCTTGTTGGTCGTGCAGCCCGGGGGTCTTAATGCGGAAGGAAGCCATGGTACCCAGAGAAATGCACGTTGTGGGGCTGGTGACCCCATACCTCTTCACGTCCGATCGGGGAGTCGAACCCCGGTCGCCTTAATGAAAGGCGAGTGCGCTATCAATTGGATAAAGGTAAGGTCGCGGAATGATTTTTTGGGGAAAAGTAATTAACAAACAGTAAATATGTTAATCTACTATTTTAAAGATGGGATTGAATTGGACTCGGTAAAGCAGCATACTCATTGACAAAGCAGTTAGAGTCACAAAACACCACGTTTGAAGAGAAACACTCACTGACCTTTTACCAAATACGTAACATTGTGTGTTCTAAAAGGTCGTTGATCACGTGATATCCCCATGAAACATACATAATATTCATAGTGAGGACGAATATCTCCCGGAATATCTAATTTACCGGATTAATGGAACTCGATACGTTACCAAAGAGAAATCATGAGTCTAACAACAAGATTGATGATTAACGAGTAAAAAAACTTTTGATTGCCGCAGTTCGGGATCCTTAGATATTGATATATTTGTAACCAATACCACAGGAAGCTACATATCCCTGCACAGAAACAGAAACTAGAAATATGTTAGCTTCATTTCACTGATAACAAGATATCCTCACTAATGAAGCATGAATTTCATTTCATTCGAAAGTACGACACAATTAAGAGCGAGGTGTGCCGAGTGTACACACTCCATTCGTTTGGGAGCTTGACCTCGGACAGGAACCTTGTCATGTGATTGTGTCATGGTAATCTGTGCTGATTCAGTCAATAGTGTCTCCTGTGTGTGTGCAACATTATACTAATGGGTCTACGTCTCCCCAGCATCACCGGAAACTCACGACCACTCCACGTGTTCTCACTCTCAGAGGTCGGCTAATGTGTTGAACCAGAATGAACCTTTTACTGATAATTGTATAGTCATGCAGTTGTGTTCATACTTTGTTTTAAATTTAACTTACCTTTGTATTGATTATGGATAGCATCGTGTCCTGGACCACCGAGCCTTATAAGTGTCCTACCAGCGCATAGTCGAGGAGCTAAAAAATCTTTGGAAATCTTCAGACCCCCCNTGAAAGTTGACATTAAACCTTAATTCGATACGTTAGAAAATGATGTGCATTGCAGATGGCTTACATAGCATACCAACTTACCATTGAGCTCAAGATTGTACGGTTCTGCACGAAATAAGAAAAATGTAGCCGATAAACTACTGTCTTCGTTACCTTACGTTCGTTATATTATAATGAACAAAATGGAATAAGAAAACAGGAACTGTCAAGGACAATATCTCATATTTATGATATGAAACATGCAATGTTCCTGTCATTGAGATATTGTTTAGAGTTTCAAAAATAATCTTTTCTTTTAATGTAATATATGTTGGGGTATGGACCTTTTACATTTTTCGGTTTAACATCATTCACATGGTCACCAAGTATCAACCAATCTAGTTCCTGGTCATTGCAACACTATAATGACTATTAATTTATAACGGCAACTGTTGCCATGGAATGATAATTGTAACATCTATCCTATGTCTGTGCATAATTGAGATAATAAGATATGGATTTCGATCATATTCGAGAATAAACACTGGAATATAAGTCTGTACAACATAACAAAGTGTAAAAACTAGAGAATCAGTGATGTATGACCAACTTATAAATACCACAGGATCAGTGATGCATGACCAACTTATAAATACCACAGGATCAGTGATGCATGACCAACTTATAAATACCACAGGATCAGTGATGCATGACCAACTTATAAATACCACAGGATCAGTGATGCATGACCAACTTATAAATACCACAGGATCAGTGATGCATGACCAACTTATAAATACCACAGGATCAGTGATGCATGACCAACTTATAAATACCACAGAATCGGTGATGTATGGCCAACTTATAACTACCACAGAATCAGTGATGCATGTCCAACTTATAAATACCACAGAATCAGTGATGCATGTCCAACTTATAAATACCACAGGATCAGTGATGTATGTCCAACATATCAAAGTATAAATACTAAAGAATCAGTAAAATATGACAAAATAGAGAATCGGCGAGGTATGTCCAAAAAACTAAAGAATAAACGCTAACAGGCTATAGTGTAAACATTATTTCTTTAACTGAATTGCCATTTCCCGCCATCTAGCAGCAGTCATTTTTTATAAAGACTCAGAGTATGGATCGACAGCTCCTTGTTATCATCCGCTGTCCCATTGTGTGTATGCTGTTCTCTCTGGTCAGAAAGGATTTCATTTTATATCCGTATCTATTTTACAAGAAATACTTAAATACAAGACGGATAGTTTAGATTATACTATGTTGGTGGTATCACGTCTTTATAGTGAAATGTAGACCATTATATCGCAGTTATCGTGTGTCTACCACTCCGTCACAATAGAAACAACAGCTGAGCTCTTTGCTGACTGATGGAAGGTGGGGAGTAATTGGAAGGGCAGTACCAAGATGAACCCTATAATACCGTCTACAAATTTCCTTGGCAGTTTGCTGCGTATTCTTGTTAATAAATTAAGTGCCGCTAAGTATAAAGTTGATCATTTCTGCTCCCATCAGCAATCTTGTCAAATCAAAATACAGCAGAAACGACATTGCCACGGCAACAGGACGAACATGATAACGGTTTAGTGGGATTACTTTGGGTGGCGCAATGTTCGTTTACACTGGACCAATATCGGAAATTACAAACAATGAGAGGGAGAACCAGCAATATACTTTGGAGAGATAGAAACGTCAAAACTGAGATTCCGATTAGGAACAAACCGTGTTTCGGGTATGACCATTCTTGGCAAAACACTATTTAATTGGACGAGCACCGTTAGGATTAGGCGGAAGTGGTTTGATGCAACCGTTGTTAAAATCCTTTAATACTCAAAGAGTATATACTTTATATATTTATAAAAGTTAGCGATCGGAGAGGAGTTTTACCTACCACGCTCTCGTTAGAGTTCTCCTGTATGTTACGGTATTTGGGCGCTATCGCTCGGGATCAATGGTACACGGAAGCCAATCAGCTTGTATTACTACGCTCTAATCACTCAACCAGATGCGTTGTATCACCGCCGATGTACGTCCGAGAGCCAACTTTTCAACAAGTAGGACTCACTGACATATTCGCAGGGTTAAATAGGCCTGCTGGGAAAACTTCAAACGGATGTGGAATCCCTTTACCAATACATAACGATGTAGTGAGGATTTTATTCTGATAAATGATGCATTTTACAATAAAAATACCGATGTATGCAACAGTTGGAGTTTAATAGTAAGACACTATGAGTAAACGTTGGATACATATGAGTAAAGGGAAGGAGGGAAGCAGCCTCAAGGTAAGTGAAACTTTTCAGGTTAATTGGAAGGTTAGATGAATAGAACCGTTGGGTTATTCTTGCATATTTATTCGCGTCATTTCCTCCCGATCCTGGTTGTCTATTGTGCCTACCGTTCCCTGTATTACAGCTTTGTGTTTCGGAAAAATACTTTTCTAACTCTATCATAGTATTTGAAACGCAATACGAAGCAAGCAACACGATGAAGTCGTCGAACTTGTAGTAAAAAAAAAATCAAGAAAGAAGTGAAATGAAATGATATGCAAATACAATTATAACGTTTTGAGCTTTCCAATGATTTTCAGTACTATTGCGGCGTCTGAATATACCGAATGATGTAGATTAATAGAATCTTCCCCTACATTGAGGGTGTGACAGAGAGATCTCCAACCCGAGGGGTGATGTTGTTGGTTGTCTAACCCGAGGCTCTGTTACACCATTAAGGTAGGGGAGGATTATTTTTCCCCATGCTATTATTTCAGTCACAGCTCCACCGAAAGTAGTCTGCCATGTTTGTAAACAAAAACACATGTGGGGTATGCATATCGTCATTCACTTTTGATGACGTCACAATTACCGATGACGAATTTTAATGACATCACAATTGAACACGTGCTAATCGGCACGAGGCTATCTCACCCTAGGGGGTGACAAGCTGATCTTTCCCGGCTAAAACGGAAGACACAAATGTGAAGGGTGGGAGAAATAGCGGTCTATTATTCATAGCATGTGAGACATTGATGTAACGGGTACTAACAGGGGACAATATTGTAACATGGATTAGCAGAGACATAGATGATCGGGTACTAACAGGGGACAATATTGTTCCATGGACTAGCAGAGACATAGATGTAACGGGTACTAACAGGTGACAATATTGTAACATGGACTAGCAGAGACATAGATGCAACGTGTACTAACAGGTGACAATATTGTAACATGGACTAGTAGAGACATTGATGTAACGTGTACTAACAGGTGACAATATTATAACATTGACTAGTAGAGACATTGATGTAACAGGTACTAACAGGTGACAGTATTGTAACATGGACTAGTAGAGACATTGATTTTACTGATTTTACGTGCACTCATAGGTGACACTATTATAACCTGGACTAGTAGAGACATAGATTTAACGTGTACTAACAGGTGACAATATTGTAACATGGACTCGTAGAGACATTGATGTAACGTGTACTAACAGGTGACAATATTATAACATGGACTAGTAGAGACATTGATGTAACAGGTACTAACAGGTGACAGTATTGTAACATGGACTAGTAGAGACATTGATTTTACTGATTTTACGTGCACTCATAGGTGACACTATTATAACATGGACTAGTAGAGACATAGATTTAACGTGTACTAACAGGTGACAATATTGTAACATGGACTAGTAGAGACATTGATGTAACGTGTACTAACAGGTGACAATATTGAAACATGGACTAGTAGAGACATAGATGTAACGTGCACTAATAGGTGACAATATTGTAACATGGACTAGTAGAGACATATATGTAACGTGTACTAACAGGTGACAATATTATAACATGGACTAGTAGAGACATAGATGTTACGTGCACTAACAGGTGACAATATTATAAGATGGACTAGTAGAGACATAGATGTAACGGGTACTAACAGGTGACAATATTGTAACATGGCCTAGTAGAGACATAGATGTAATGGGTACTAACAGGTGACAATATTGTAACATGGCCTAGTAGAGACATAGATGTAATGGGTACTAACAGGTGACAATATTGTAACATGGACTAGTAGAGATATAGATGTAATGGGTACTAACAGGTGACAATATTGTAACATGGACTAGTAGAGACATTGATGTAACGTGTACTAACAGGTGACAATATTATAACATGGACTAGTAGAGACATTGATGTAACGGGTACTAACAGGTGACAGTATTGTAACATGGACTAGTAGAGACATTGATTTTACTGATTTTACGTGCACTAATAGGTGACACTATTATAACATGGCCTAGTAGAGACATATATGTAACGTGTACTAACAGGTGAAAATAAAGAAACATGGACTAATAGTGTAGACACTACTATAACGGAGACTAATAGAAACATGGACTAGTAGAGTCATTGATGTAACGGGTACTTACAGGTGACAATATTATAACATGGACTAGTAAAGACTTTTATTTTACTTATTTTACGTGCACTAATAGGTGTCACTATTATAACATGGCCTAGTAGAGACATATATCTAACGTGTACTAACAGGTAACAATATTGTAACATGAACTAGTAGAAACATAGATGTAGCGTGCACTAACAGGTGACAATATTATAAGATGGACTAGTAGAGACAAAGATGTTACGTGCACTAACAGGTGACAATATTGTAACATGGACTAGTAGAGACATAGATGTAGCGTGTACTAACAGGTGACAATATTGTAACATAGACTAGCAGAGACATAGATGTTACGTGCACTAATAGGTGACACTATTATAACCTGGACTAGTAGAGACATAGATGTTACGTGCACTAATAGGTGACACTATTATAACATGGACTAGTAGAGACATAGATGTAACGTGTACTAACAGGTGACAATATTGTAACATAGACTAGTAGAGACATAGATGTAATGGTACTAACAGGTGACAATATTGTAACATGGACTAGTAGAGACATAGATGTAACGAACAGGTGACAATATTATAACATGGACTAGTAGAGACATAGATGTTACGTGCACTAATAGGTGACACTATTATAACGTGGACTAGTAAAGACATTGATGTAAAGTGTACTTATATGTAACACTATCATGTTTTTTTCTGGATCCTCGACCACAGGGTTGTGGACTAATAGAGTTGATTCTAATATAGCATTGACTGTTATAAGTCAAATCACTATAATAAGGGTTATTATGACCGTGCTACCACAAATTCCTATAGTAAAGTTAATACTATTACAACTTGGATAAATGGAGGTGACACTACTACAACGGAGACTTATAGAGATGACACTACTATAACGTGGACTAATAGAGGTGAAACTACTATAACGTGGACTAATAGAGGTGACAATACTATGACGTTGACTAATAGGGATGAAGCTACTATAGCGTGGACTAATATAGGTGAAACTATTATAACTTGAACTATTAGAGGTGACACTACTATAACGTGGACTAATAGAGATGACACTACTATAACGTGGACTAATAGAGGTGACAATACTATAACGTGGACTAATAAAGTAGACACTACTATAACGTGGACTAATAGAGGTGACACTACTATAACTGACAATACTATAGCGTGGACTAATAGAGTAGACACTACTATAACGTGGACTCATAGAGGTGACACTACTATAACGTGGACTAATAGAGGTGACAATACTATAGCGTGGACTAATAGAGTAGACACTACTATAACGTGGACTAATAGAGATGACAATACTATAACGTGGACTAATAGAGATGACAATACTATAACGTGGACTTATAGAGATGACACTACTATAACGTGGACTAATAGAGGTGATACTACAATAACGTGGACTAATAGAGGTGACACTACTATAACGTGGAATAATAGAGATGAAACTACTATAACGTGGACGAATAGAGATGACAATACTATAACGTGAACTAATAGAGATGACACTACTATAACGTGGACTAATAGAGGTGATACTACTATAACGTGGACTAATAAAGGTGACACTACTATAACGTAGAATAATAGAGTAGACAATACTATAACGTGGACTAATAGAGAAGGCACTACTATAACGTGGACTAATAGAGGTGATACTACTATAACATGGACTAATAGTGTAGACACTACTATAACGTGGATTAATAGAGGTGACACTACTATAACGTGGACTTATAGAGTAGACACTACTATAACGAGGACTAATAGAGGTGACACTACTATAACGTGGACGAATAGAGATGACAATACTATAACGTTGATTAATATAGGTGACACTACTATAACGTGGACTAATAGAGGTGACACTACTATAACGTGGACTTATAGAGTAGACACTACTATAACGTGGACTAATAGAGGTGACACTTCTATAAAGTGGACTAATAAAGGTGACACTACCATAACGTGAACTAATAGAGGTGGCACTTCTATAACGTGGACTTATAAAGGTGACACTACTATAACGTGGACTAATAGAGTAGACACTACTATAACGTGGACTAATAGATGTGACACTACTATAACGTGAACTAATAGAGGTGACACTTCTATAACGTGGACTAATAGAAGTGACACTACTATAACGTGGACTCATAGAGTAGACACTACTATAACGTGGACTAATACATGTGACACTACTATAACGTGAACTAATAGAGGTGACACTTCTATAACGTGGACTAATAAAGGTGACACTACTATAACGTGGACTTATAAAGGTGACACTACTATAACGTAGACTAATAGAAGTGACACTACTATAACGTGGACTAATAGAGGTGACACTTCTATAACGTGGAATAATAAAGGTGACACTACTATAACGTAGACTAATAGAGGTGACATTACTATAACGTGGACTAATAGAGGTGACACTTCTATAACGTGGACTAATAAAGGTGACACTACTATAACGTAGACTAATAGAAGTGACTCTACTATAACGTGGACTAATAGAGGTGACACTACTATAACGTGGACTAATAGAGGTGACACTTCTATAACATAGACTAATAGAGGTGACACTACTATAACGTAGACTAATAGAAGTGACACTACTATAACGCGGAATAATAGAGATGAAACTACTTTAACGGGGACGAATAGAGATGACAATACTGTAACGTGGACTAATAGAGGTGACACTTCTATAACGTGGACTAATAGAGGTGATACTACTATAACGTGGACTAATAGAAGTGATACTACTATAACGTGGACTAATAGAGGTGACACTACTATAACGTGGAATAATAGAGATGAAACTACTTTAAC